GGTTGCATAAAAAGCTTGGGTGTGGAAGAATTGTGGGTGGAGCTTAAGAAGCCCGGCTCTCACACGCCACACTTCCTCTCACTTTGACCTTCACCTATGTTTCCCCATTCACTAGCCAGCTGCAGTAACTGCCCTGCACCAATCATTGTCTTTGTAGGATCTATGTCATGATATACCTACACGTCTATGGTAAGGTATATGTTATCTTAACATATAGCAACTCTCTATGAGGGGCATATACCATTTTCCCTCATTCCTTATTCAACTCATGGCTGATCGCCAGTCCTGGCCCTTGGTAGATGCTCTGTAAGTATTTGTTGCATTGTTTGCATGAAGATGAGACATAGCACCTTGGAGAAGTTATTTTATTGAAGGCCATTCAGTGGAAGAGAACCAGACCCAATCAATCCTCCATTCCAGAAGTCATGTTTTAACATGCCATTAACATATTAAGAACCTAAACTGAGCCACTTTATCTTCATATTGTACCAGGAATGGAGGAGGATATGTCTAAATGACAGGGAGTTAAGGAAAATAATGATACAGAGAAGATTATGTAGCTAGCGCTTGCTACTTTGTGGGCTCCTTTTTCCATCTACCACTCTCTCCACCATCATTGACCCTCTAATACTGGATAGAAAAGAAAAAAGGATCGAAGAAAAGGGGTCAAAATTATCATTAGACTGCTTCCTGCTGATTGAGTTCATTGGAGCAAGTTTGATTTTCACTGTCAGGATATCTAATTTCTTCTTCTCGTTTCTTTGTGCGTAACTACTTGACAAACCTAAACCAACAGCAACCAACAACATCCAAACACCCACAACAGCAACCCTGCCTCTCAGGGCCCTAGCCTTTATAGAGCCTCTGAAAAGTTCCCAGAATTCCAAATGTTACATATTCACAGGAACTAACTGCACCTGTGAAAACCATACCCCTGCTAGAGCCCGAGGCAAACCAGTCACCTGCTGTGAAGCAGCCTTATATCCCAACACCTGGGATTAAAATTAAAACATACTCCCATACATTTCTTTTTTTTTTTTTTAAGAAACCAAAATCATAGAATTCTCACTGTAACAACTCACATTTCCTGCGCTCATTTTGTGCAGCATTGCCTTGAGGTGACTCTGTTAGCTCTGAATCATCACCCTAGATGTGACTTCAAGGACAGTCTTTCCCACCACACAACTCTGCTTTCTCATTACCACCGGGCTCACTCTGTACGTTCTTACATCCTCAGCGATTCTCATTATAAGTTTTCCTCTGCTTCTACTGAGCTGATGCTGTCCTCTCTAGGTTTCCAGTGACCTTTCAGTGGCCATGTTCTCTTTGGAGGCTTCATTCTACAGACACAATTATGACATTAGACACAGGATCGGGACACATATCTCTCCACGACACACATGCTGCCACTCAGGCTTCTGGAGCGCACGTTAGGCAGCGGCAGTTACCATCAACCAGTATCAACATGGGGCGAGGTACTCCCTCATACGGTGGCTTCTCTGGCCTGTGGAGCCCACTTCCCATTGTTTTCCTTCCTCCCCACATGCTATGTTCTGGGTAGTTCTGAACTTCCTCGAATGCATGCTCTGTCTAGCAACTTGACCTTTTCACGTGATTATTTTGTAAGGGAAAACAGTTACTCCATTGTACCTAACCAATGTCTAAGGGTGCTCCCAGAGCCAGCTCCACCATCACCTGCTATAGAAGGCTTTTTGTGGGCAGCCCAGACAAGAAGAAGCTTTCACTTCCAATCACTGGATATTACAACTCTCTATTTCCACGTCTTGGGTTTCTACTGAATAGAGAAGGACTTCCTCTAATCCTCATTGACATGTCATGCTCATTTTTCCCTAGGACTTTCTATAGTATCTAGAATATATAAATAGAAAAAAAATGCTTATTGAATTAAGAATGATTGAACAGATGGGTGGGTAAGTTATGTGCTCTTTACTTTAAAAAGTAAACACACACACACACACACACACAAACAAACAAAAAAACCTACTTTACAGTAAGTAGGTTTAAAACTCAGAGTGTCAGCTTAGAGACATTGCTTGGAATACTATCCAAAGAAAATCTTAGATTTACTTGGGCCTATCTAGTGTTTCCTGTGCATCAAGGCAAATTTTGCTTGCTTTAAGACTTTAAGAAAAAGGAACAGAACAGTTTTTAAATGTAATTAAAGATAAGTGCAGAATCAAGACAATTCTGGGTAAAAGGAGTTACTCTTTGATCTGCTATCCAAAAATTTAACAGCTGTCTAAAACTCTGTGGAAGGCTGATTTGGAGCATTTAATAACACAAAGAGGACAGAGCCAAAATTGTAACTCCATTACTCATATAGATGTCTGGGATGGGCAGTAAATAAATAATTTTTTTGGCAGCATTTTATAGTAGCTGTCTTTAACATTATCCAATGAGATTTCTTTCCTGGTCTACCTACATGGATAAAAATCATCTTAGAATACTATGTACGTGTATGTTATGGTTTAGCTCTAAACATTTCTCCTATTGATTGAGTAATGAAGGCTTGGTTCCAGTACTGCAGTGTTTATAGCTGGGGCCACAGAGAGATGACAGCTTTGTCAGTGGGTTAATCTTTTGAAAAAAATCATAGCTATTCAGAAGTGGAGTCAAGTTTGAGAAAATAAAGGCCTGGGGAAACATTTATTATTCTCCTCACCGTGACTAAAAAGCTGACAAGAAGCATCTTCAGTGAGGGGGGAGTTTATTTCAGCTCACAGTGCGAGGGTGCAGTCTATCATGGTGGAAAAATCACGGCAGTGGAAATCAAAGCAGTTGGTCACAACATCGGGAAGCAGAGAGGTAAACAGTATTGTTCAGGTTGCCCCCTTTTTATTCAGTATGGGATTCTGGCCCATGAAATACTTGCTGATGCCTACTTTAGGTCGGATTTTTCCACCTCAGTTAACCTAACGTGTAAATTCCCTCATAGATATTTTCAGATTCTAGACCCTCTCGAGTTCACAGTTAATATTAACCACCATAAAAAAAAATTAGTAATGTCCATGATCTCCCCAGACCTTATCTGCTTCCTCACTGCATTTAGATGAGTAGCTTTCTCCAACACATTCTCCGCGTCATGATGGAGGCTGAGTATAGCTTGGCTATGTGACTAAGGCATGGACCAAGACCCAGAGAACTGCACACCAGCATAGAGATTTCTTATTTTTGAGTTGTTCATTTCATGGATTTTTGTCACAGAGATGGGATCTGACCAATCCAGGGTCTTAAAAATGTATGAGTAAAATAAACTTTACATGACAAATATTGTGGGCATGATGAGTTCTGGTTGTATAATATTCTTGGAGACCAAGAATACATATTAGCACATCAGGTCAAAAAAAAAAAAAAAAAAAAAAAAAAAAAAAAAAAAAAAAAAAAAAAAGGAAAAAGGAAAAAGGAAAGACCACACTAAAAGAAAAACACATTTCTGTGGTTTAATTCTGCTAGTAGGTTTGAGATAAATCTTTTCTTGCAGAGTACCTCATATTTATTCCTATGGCATTAGCACTGGCACACCCTAGCTTTGGAAGGCCTGAGAAATATACTCTTAGGTGCTGGTGTTTTATCAGACATATGCAAAGAGGATTGCTGTGAAGGCCTTTCTGACATAAAGAAAGGAAGACTGACTATGCTTTAGCCTAGAATGGACTCAAGTAGACTATTATTATTTACATGATAAAATTCAACTTTATGTGAAGGCTGGAGAGAGAAAGGCCAACTCTTAATCAATCCTTAGAATTAGCAATTTACTTATGATGGCCGTATCACAGAGTCATAGGAATTTATATTTTCATTTTGTCCTAACGAAAAACTTGACCATCTTTCTTTAATATTATCAACCTGGAAGCTTGACAGTAAGGATTAAAAATTGCTCCTCACTTCCCACTTGGTTATTGGAAAGGCTCTGAAAGGTGATCAGTCTTCTGAAGCTACACTTTACAGTCTGCATAAAAATGCCATGATTTCCCTTCCTCTCCACAACCTAATTGAAAGTGCATAATATCGCCCAGCTGGGGAAATGTGTAAACGGTAAACACGGGCAATAGATCATGTTATCGCACAAAAGCTGCCTACTGCTAGGGGCCGCGTGGTTGTCGGAACCCCAAGAAATCTGGAAAATGAGTCTTTCTTTCTTTTAGAATGAGAGCTTCTTAACACCTTCCCTTACCTCCTCCCTCCAGATTTCAAGCAGGAGCAGTCAGATTAGAGCAAGGTCCATCAAGCCATTCCTGGAATGTAAGACTCCAGGGTCACCTACTAATGCTTTTGAACTGAGGCTCTTTTAGATCAGCCTTTCCCGAGACAGTGCATTTTTCTTTTGGCAAGAGGTGGGGTTGGAATCATATTGTTCCTAACTTGCTTCAGATAGATGCTACCAATATCTCTTTCCCTGGCTGCTAAACCTACATGTCACCTCCTATCTGCCTCTACTTCATCAAACTCCTAGGACCAAGATCATCTCATTTCCACCCCTGCTCATCAGTGAATAGCTAGACAGTTGAGTTTTCCTTAACTATGAAATCCCAATCTTATTTTTCTCCTGCACTGTCATAGCTATCTATAATCCCACTTCAATTACACCTACTTGGAAGCCATTTTACATCTTCTGACTCCTCACCCCAAGTTCTTGACTAAGTGCCATCTTCTTGAATAAGGCTCTTAAGGCAAAAGACAATATTCCTTCAAAACTTTGATCATTAGTTCTCTGCCACTGTATTCCTGCAAAAATTGTTTCTAAGCACTATGCACCCTACTGCTACTATCCATTCATGTCACTTTATAACTAGCTATTGTTTAATTTTTGATGACTGATACCTTACTGGTAGGTCAAAGTGCAATGCTTGTCTAGGGCACCATGTCATTGAAGTTTCAGTAGATTGAGAGATACATTTTTTTTTATCTGCTTCAGCAGTAGAGATGATTTGAAGCTTACTGAATTAAAAGTGCATTCATCTTTCACTCAGTTATATTACCTGTCAGCTAGGGCTGGGGGATGATATGGCTTGTTGACCTTGGCATAGAGACCCTCTAAGTGGTCTCTGTCTGGAGACAGTGGACGTCCATCCCGAGGGTAGCCAAGTGGTCCAGCTCGAGGAGGAGATGGAGATCTAAAGACATTCGCTGACGTGCACGGTTCCCGAAAGTGGTTCACCCTGGCATAATTGGGGTCCATTTCATCATCATCCATATCATGCACTGATCCAATTGCCACCGTGGCATAATCAACAAGACCTCTTGCCTGCTTTTCTCTTAGCTCCTGATGTTTTGCTCCAATCCTGAAAAATACAGAAGAGGTAGCAGAGACTAATGTGAATTTCATATGCTGACACAATGAAATAGTCTCCCGGATCTGGGTTAACCCTTGCAAGCCATTCAGCTGTCACTTTCCCATTTCCTCAAGATCATGCCATGCAGAAATGCCAACAGCATAAGAGGATTAATTTGAAATCCGTGACCTTTATTTGTCACAGAGTCTTCACTTTGATAGCAATGCTATAGGTATTTTGACACATCTCCTCCTGATGATCGGGCTGATAGCAGTTCCTCCCTACAAAAGAGCTGGGCTTCTGGCAAAGTACACCTAAGAAAAGATATGCCTTGAAAGTCTTTCTTGGGATCAGGCCACATGTGAAAGAGCCCATCAGAATCTTACACATTTGCTATGACTTCACTCTTTACTACTCCAGAGTTTCAGTGTATTCTTCTAAAAAAAAAAAGAAAAAAGAAAAAAGTTTGAAGAGAATTGATTTAGATATGAAGAAGAAATACAGAGACTGTCTGGTCACTAAAAGCTGCAGAATTGAGGGGTGATTTATAAGAGACTTTTTTTCTTTTTTACACAAATGGGGATCATTGTACCTCATTGTACAAGGGCTAGGGACAGAGCAAAATAATGAAGAAATTACCAGGCTTGTGACAGAGATGAATTGGCACATATAAGTGAATTAAACTCCGTTACTGGCAGAAGTCCATAGCCCTAAAGCTTTAAGTGGTAGTACAGAATGTTTCTGCTAGCCAGGGACTATATGTGGACCACTGAGGATGGGGCAGAACATACAGTCAGGTGGAACCTACACCCACCTGAATTGTGAGAATTGATTCAGAGGTCATTAGCTTGGTTCTCTTCAACTCCCACTAAATACACTAAGACAGAAAGCTCCCTAGGATGTTCCATTGAATAGTGGTGTTATGGGTGGAGACCCTTTAACCTTTTACCCTTGAGAATATGAGATATAGAGTATATGAGATGAGAGAGCAGGATGATCCTGACTCAGGTATCCAAAGCCATGTTCAAGGAAGGATGGAGATGAAGCTGAAGTCTGGGCATCAGAGAAGATAAGAGGGCTAAGGCTAGCAGTGAAAGATCTGTGTTTGCTTGTAGACACGGACAGAAAGCCTGGGCCAGTCACAAACAAAGTCTAAAACCCCTCAGCAACTCCTCTTCAAACAAAAACAGTTGTTTTCTTTCTTCCTTTTTTTCTTTTTCTTTTTTTTTTTGTACGAGGCAGCTATTTTCATTTTCCAAACATCAAACCCTTTGTCAAAATCTTTAGAAGCCATGATCTTTCAAAAAAAATTTTTCCCCTTGTGACAAGCCAGTGTTTGTATCTTAGGCTAGTTTTTTTTTCCCAGTAGAAAAAAGAAGAAATTGGGCAAGAGAAAGGAAAAGTTACAAAATAAAAACGTTTAGAAGGTGACATAGAATAAGAGAGCAGCATCTCTGGGTCACAACAGATGAAAACAAATGCCATGATACATTGTTGCATATCTGTTTTGACTAGGCAAAAAATGTACCTGACATATAAATAATTGGGAGGATTTATATTTTTGCATAAGGCAGTTTGAATCTCTAAGGGATTCTGAATTAAGATGAAAAGGAGACTACACAGTAGCGCACCCATTAAGGGGGCCTTCCCTCTCCTCTTTCAATGCATGTCAGTCCCAGATTCGTGGCTGCTTGAGTTGAATAATTTTTGATAAAGAAGAGAGCCTACTCCAATGAAATTTGAGACTCAGCCTAAAACGAGGAGTGTTCCAAGATGTATTGTTTTTCAAGGGATGGTGCAGATTGGTTTATCAGAGGATGCTTCCTGTACTGCATGGATAGGGATGGATTTCCATTGTAAATAAGGTAAAAGACATTGGGAGTCAAAGGGTGGGACTCTGTATGTTTCCTCTCTTCCTCTCCTTCCGAAATGTAGAAAAATAAATACCACCCAGCCCTGGCTGACACACGGGGCAAGCCTGACTTTTCTAAACCAGCAGAACTAGAACACTGGGACCTGCGTTCCTTATTTCATCTCTTTCTTTGAGGTTTTCTTTTTTTTTTTTCATTAATTAAACTTCCTAAGTGTGTAGAGATTTGTAGATGAAAAAGTTCCCTATGTATGCCAAGCAGCTTTGGATCTTGTATTTTTCTTTGCTAAAACAAAACCAAATTCTTCCTCTCTCTTCTTTGAACTACTAAGGGTTGCAGTAACTAATTTCATATTAATTGCTCAGCAGGTGACATAGTCATTTCTCTGTACCATCATCATGATGACCTATATCAGGGTCTCTCCACGTGGGGGAGGACAAGGCAACCTTAGAAATGGGGATGCAAAGAAGATGAGGAAGACTCTCTCATGACATCGTCAAAGAGAAATACACTTGTCTTGCTCTGATTGGGAGTCTCCTTACTCCTGGAAAGTCAACATGTTAAAATACCCGATTTTCAGAATAGCCTAACTACTTTTTCACTCACAGCACCAAGCTTGCTTCCCTGTTCTACAGGGCATGCCGCCTTTGCATTGTTGAAACTTCTCTTTTCTCTCTTTGAAAATAGCAGTGTCCCTTCTTTCCTTTCCATTTCTTGGATGCCCCTCTTAATTTCCATTTCCTTGGCTACAGTGTGTAGTTTTCATGTTTTATATTGCTTAGATCTGCTATCTAATGTGGGAGCCATTGGCTGTGTGTGGCCCTATACATTTAAATTTGAATTAATCAAAATAAAATAAAACATTTTTTCAGTCTTATAAATCTATTCAAGCAATTAATAGTTACATGTAGCCAGTGGCTTCTGTTGCAACAGTGATGTGGACGATTTCCACAGCTGCGGAAAGTTTTATTGGATGGTGTTAGCTTGATTCATTCAAAGATATTTTGGCATATCATCATATTCCCCCCTTGTCTCAGTTAGGGTTTCCACTGCTGTGATAAAACAACATGACTCAGAATTTGGGGAGAAAAGATTTTCTGTTAGTTTATTTCTTTTTTAAAATTTTGTTTTATAGTTTATACTTTATCATCTAGGGAAGTCAAGACAGGGACTTGGAGGCAGGGAATGAAGCAGAGGTCGTGGGCAGAGTACTCTTACTGGGTAGTTCCTCATGGCTTGCTCAGTTTGCTTTCTTACAGCCCCTAAAACCACTAGCCCACAGTTACCTGGGCCTTCCATATCAAACATCACTTAAGAAACTGGACCACAGACATGCCCACGAGCCAACTGCCGGGGGCGTTTTCTCCATTATGGTTTCCTCTTCCACAATGACTCTAGCTTTTGTCAAATTAATGTGAAACTAGCCAGCCCTCCACTTTAATCTGTACCTGAAGAGGCTGCTACAAACGTCTTCAAGTAAAGAGCATTCCCACCGCATTCTCAGTCAGATGGCGGATCTCTGACGGATTATAGTAAACAACTGAGTGAAAGTATGGCTAGCTCCCTATTCTCACTGAAACATTATATGATCAGAGACTGGGGAAGAAAATGCATCTTCAGCCTAAAATGGGGATTATGCCAAGAGTTAAGACATGTTTTCATTTGCAGCCGGGCACACATTTCCCTGAAGAGGACTGAGGTCTACAGGAGCCAGCATGGCTTCACTTAGTAAGAGAGAATCTGAGGATAGGAAAGGTTTCTGTGAGGACCCGACTTCAGAACGGGGACTCACTCACGGCTGGGAGAGCTGAATGCCCTGTGGGTAGTCTCCTGTGTATGAGGAAGTTTCATTGAGACAAAGTAGGGAGAAAAAGAAATGACAAGGAAGGTGAAAGAGTAAAGATAAAGCCAGACTCATCAAAACAAAACCAGGCACCGAGGCAACCTCATCTAGGAGAAGGTTCATCAGCTGTCAGGATAACCTTCCCCGCAGATTGAACACTAGAGAAAATAAGCTCCCAGGATGGTGACAAGCAAAGTGGGAAAGGAAGTCATTTTAGGAAAATGCATAGAATTGAAACTACTGGTGACCTTACATTAGTATTCTCATGTCACTTAAAATGATATTTTAACATTCATTCTGATTTAAACTGTAAACATTTATAGGTCATAAAATATATTTAATTAGTCAAACAAATATTTCACATTTTAATTTTCTATTTCTTAACTTTACATTTCTGAAATTTTTTTAAAATTAATTCAATTTTACATCTCAGTCACGGGCCACTCTGTCCTCTCCTCCCAGTCCCACCCACCTTCCTTCATCCCTTCTCCCCTTCCTTTAGTCAAAGATTCAACTCTCATCTTCTCCAGTACAGAAGTAAGCTTGTCAATCACAGTCCCACAGTGGCCTCAGTGTTTTGTCTTGTATTCAACAGGTAGGTTTTGCAAGCTCTGTATTTGTCTGAATTATTATACAGTTACAAAGTTCTTTAATCCATTAATTTCTGGACATTTGGGCCATTTCATAATAAAAGTTGAAAGCTCTGAAGGAGAACAAGCATACTAGCATTTACCCTGTCCGATTCTGTGAGCATTTGTGTTATGCAGGCCTGGTAGAATTTTGCTCAGGACTGTTACTAAACTGCATTCTTTTGTAGAGGGGTGGTGGATGGATTACACAAACCAGCCTGCCTCCATGTGTTGTGTTTACACTCTATCGTGCCCTTTGTTCTGACTGTAGAACATCACCCCATTGCCACATGTTGGAATAAGACTGCAAGAACAAAACAAAATGCACACCTTTCACTGATTCCGTCTTGACATTCTGTCCCTGACTGGCCTACAAACTACTTCAATGTGTCCTGTGAGTTCCCTTTCTGATAATTCTGTGGCTATTTAAGCCTTCAGCATCTGCTCTGCTTACAAGTGTTAGAAAGAAGAACAGAGCCAAACCTGGTCCCTGGTTTACCTACAGTATAAGTGATCATGATTCACTAGCAAAGAAAGCTACTGTGTGTGCATTTGGTCCTGGATGCCCAGGGCCTGTGAGTGAGATTTATAAAGGCAGGGCCATGTGGCCTGGGTTTTGAAGGAACTTGTCATTCTTGATACAAATTGTGGAAATGGTATTAGGTG